AAATATCAACAGAAAGCTGCCGGATAGCTCCCTCGGTAAAACATTGTGTTGCGAAGCAGAAGTGACTATCACGTCGCGGGTTTGATCCCCGCCTCGTACCAACCAGCAATGGCCGGCAGCTTTTTCAGAGTAGCGCACAATTGGCCATTGCGCTACAGGGTTGCAAATTGGGAAGGGACTGCCGGGGAGGGAAAATAAAAGTTGCCTTGTTTGATGCTCAAGCGCCTCCTGTTGGCCAGATGGGCGCTCGTCAGGAAGATTCTAAGCCTATTCATGTCCGGGTATCCTCCTCCCTCGCTCTGAACTTGCGTAGATTCAACCAATGAGTGTATAAGAAGAGGTGGCTGACAGGCACATGCTTCGGAGGAGAGCCGCAAACTGTCTACACTCTCCTTACCAAGTTAGCTAGCTGCAGATTCCCCTTGAAAATAAATCAAGGCCACCACTTTTTTGTATTTTATGAAAGGCATAATGGGTCCCTTATAATATAAAATTTGTTGCCAGTCTTGCGATGTATTGACCCAGAATAGTAGTATAAAGCAATCAGACAAAAAATGGATCGCACACACATATAGGTTTTTGCTGATTGAAGCTGCGATGTTGTCATATAAGTCACTGGCAGAGATATTCAGATGAGAGGTGGAACGATTCTCGTCAGCCTGCATGTGACGTAAGAAGGGGAACCAAATTTGAATAGCATGCCAAATATCAAGTCTTTTGAAAAAGGCAGCCCACAAAGAACTGACTGGGTTGTTTTATGCCACAGTTTTTGAGTTTGTAGGCACTTGTAATACAAAAATGTAGATGTGCAAGCGCTGAAAAAGTGAACTTTTTATATTATGTCCCCTTAAAGTTATTGGGTGTGCGTGTGGGAATAATATCCCAAATGATATTCTACGATGAACAGAACGCTCAACATTTCTGTAGTATGTCCACTGCTGTCGTTTTAAATAGGCAAAATCATTTCACGCTGCGCCCCCACCTCCTTGTCAAATCCTCCACAGGACAGGAACATGTCAGTTAGGATTAGTCAAGATGCTCAGTACGCCCTTGCTTTTGTTTTAGACAATTTAAATTTACTTATAACACTGGATGGATATCAGATGCAAAAATGCCACGTGTAATTGCACAGCGTTGTGTAATTATATGCATTCTCTCAATCCGGCACGTAATGAGGCAACCCTCTCGTGTTACCATGTCAACTCTGCCAAAGCTGGTTTCCAGAGATAGTTATGAATATCTCTGACAAATCTGCTACATGGAGCAGACATTTCTTTCCTATATTATGAATTAATATTATGTGTGAAATACTATCTGTCACAACCTGTGTGTCTGCTTAATTGGCTCCAGCAGTCTTGTGGGTTGCTCTTTGCATTGGGTTGATTGGCTCATTATTCCCCTGCTGCAATCAGCTGTAGCTACTGATTGTGCTGTTGCTGTATATATAGCTTGTGGGTTTCGCCTCATTTTGGACTGGATCATCTTAAAAAAAGGGGTTGTTTTAACCTCTTTTGCTGAATTCTTGGTTTTCTCCTCAGTGTCTGTTCTGAGGAGCTAAATTATTATTGAACTAAATTATTTGTGAGTAAATCACTAATGAGCAAATTTCTCGGTACAGCAGGTTATCCAATCCTTCTTCCAGTTCTCATCCTCCTCATTATATATGCTCCCTAGTGGCTCATCGTCGAGCCTGCAGTTGTCTCCACATCTGTCCAGTTAGTAATAACTATCGCGAGTTACACAAGAAAAATCATCTATAGACCGTTCATGCATTGGGATATATTCTCTTACCAGCACGTGAGGCTGATTTATATGTAAATCAGTAACATATAAATGAGAATTTTGTTCCAAATATAATTTCAAGCAAATACAAATCTCACCAAAATGCCATTCACTGCACGTTGCACAACAATTCACGAAGACCAACAAACGCAACTTTACTGTCACTTTTATATTAACGTCTTAACTGTCACCTGCATTTGTTATGACTGACATAGGGCAAAAAGGTGGGTAGAAATGAAATCCTGAGCATCTAAGCTTTCAAATGGTATATCATTTGCCTGGATTGGTTGAGGTTTTAAGTCATAGTTTACAAATGAAGGATTCAAAATTTGTTTGAAAATTCCATAGGGCCCTAATTAGGGCCCAGTGACAGTTAAAAGGTTAATAGAATTGCTTCATAAATATGGGGTGTCCAATAATATGGGGGGGAAAATTGAGTTTGTGCAGCTAAATGATTGACGTTCTTTATCTATACAGAATGCAGAACGGATGGCTCGGGAGTGATTTTACGCTTTGAGCATCTCCAAGTCTACATTCCTTGAACATAAAAGGATGCTGCCTTGTGTTAATCTTTCACTTTTCTTCTACTGGCATTTAAATTCCTCTGTAACAATGGTGGCAAGCCTGAATGTCCTATCTCAAGTCGACATGTCTGTCGGTTAAGGGCATCCTGTACTCATTGTTTTTTTTTCTAGGGCGTGTGACTGGAAAGACACCTTGAAGCATTATTTTGGAAAACACTCAACCTGTAAAGATATTAAAATATGTCAGGGGCTGGAAAGCCAATGTGGAAATTATTGGGTTACCAAATAAAACGTCATGAGGATATTACAGGTCATGAGGAAGCATCACTGTTCAAAATCATGCTTTAATTTTTCTGTGCGCATTTGCTCTGGATCCAGAAACAAAGAAGTGAGAAGTCATGTTCTTGATTTTTGAAAAAATCTATATTGCTTCCAATCAGGGCTCAAAATGCCATGCAGAACAATCCACCCTTTCCTCAATTTGACAGTTCCAGGCTTGATAATTCGTGATGAGCTCCTGCAGATGAAGTTAGGCTTTTAACCACCCGTGTAAGAGGAGATACAATCCACTACTTCCTCATTCGCTGCCTCCTCCTCCTCCGTCTCCTTTTGCTTTGAACAACCCTCTCATGCACACACAGCCACGGGAGTTCTGACCCCAGTAACGACGCATAACAGAGAGGATGCTGGGAGCTTAAAAAGCACTCAGCTCTGAATCTCCCGTGGATAGGAGCTGTGAACACAGCTTTGCTGGAGGGGCTGGGGAATTTCACACTGCTGTTTATCTGAGCATGTGATTCAGGCCTCAGAAATAAAGACAACCCCAGACAAAGAGCTATCAATCATCCAGTATAAATCACTCCCAAACCAGTTTCACAGAAAATAGCTTTAAATTAATGACAAAAAAAAAAAAAAAAAAGCAAAAAACAAAATGCAAGTAGAGGGCATGTAAGGGTGTGTTGACTCTCACTGCTTTATTGCTTCATGGCTTTAATTTGTATAAGAAGCAAATTAACAACATCTGCTGTACAATTGCTAGTGGCTGACTTGTTTGAAGTCGCTTCAATTCTGTCTAGTGGCTTGTCTCTTTGGATGCACATCAATGTGTACAATTTTTTTTTAACCCCAGCAAATAAAACATTTCACCTCAGGAATTCCTATGGTCCCTCTATCCCAAATGTAAAGTCATATTAGGAAACCAGAAGAAATGTGTAAATCTGTTACGAGATGAATTCCTGCGCTCCAGCTCTTCAGGCCTAAAAGCTGACTTGCATGGCATTCTTTTCCTATTTGGGGATACAGTGCAGTAATTTATATCCACTGCAAGGATGACTGGAAGACAGGGATCAAGGAAAATTTTCCTGACAATACCATGATTCTAAAAGCAATGATTTGTTTATACTGTACATGTATACAGTTAGGTCCATGAACATTCAAATAGAGACACAGTTTTCATTGTTTTAGTTTTGTATGCCTCCACAATGTGCTTAAGCTGCAGACTTTCAACTGCAATTTAAGAGTTTTTTTTTTCTTCAAAAATATTGTCTGAACAATATGAATGCCCACTTTATGCATAGCTGCTTCAGTTTTAGGGCCTCCAAAGTAATTTGGACAAACTGACAAGATTATTAAATTGTCATTCTTATGCAGTGGTGAACCCTTTGCAGTCACTGACAGTCTGAAATTTGAAAATCATAGACATCACCAGATGGGGTTTCCTGGGTTTCCTCCCTGGTGATGCTCCGCCCGGCCTTCACTGCAGCTGTATGTTGGGATGTTTTGTCCTCAGCAAGTGAAATGCATGCTAAATTGGAATCGGATCATATGATTGACTTGTCTATGGTAGAGCATTCCACTTCTTTACCTTAAAAAAATGTTGGGTTGTCTTTGCAGTACGCACCCAAGTCATTGTCCATCTGCATTGTAACACATTTTACAATTAGTTTTGATGCATTTGGCTGAAACTAAGCACATAATATAACCCTAAACAATCCACAATTCATTTTCCAGCTTTTCGCAACAAGCTCATCACCAGTAGGTACAAGGGAACCAGCTCAATTAGCAGCAATATATAACTACTCTTCAGAGATGAGGTGGTTTACTAAAGATAAGGAGCAGTTCCTTCCCTTCTCCATATTCTTCTTTGCCTATCTTTCTCATATGTGTTGATTTTTTTCTCTTATTTGTTAATAGGACACTGTTCTACAACTATACAGGCATTCTTAGATTTTTTTGGCAAGTTTCCAGCAAGTTTCCCATTTTTGATCTGTACCAATAGCTTGCACGTTAAAATCAACCCTCTGTATTTACTCTTCACTTGATTTCTGACTTCAGTACTGACACGCATGCCACCAAGAGAATGCTCTTGATTTGGCTAACTGTTTTTCTCAACCAGGGTAAGAATTTTTCTGTCATCCACCACAGTCATTATCTGTGGTCTTCCTGGCCTTTTTGTATTCCTGAACTCACCAGTGCCTTCTTTGATTTTTAAGGGTACACCGAGAAGTTTATTTAGCCACGTCTTACAGTTTCTCCTTTTCTCTCATTGGTTTGTTTTGATTTTATCAGCCTAATAATGGCTTGCTTTACTGACATTGATTGCTCTTCGGATTTCATATTGAGAGTTAACAGAAACAGATTCCAAATGAAAATATAATTCTTGAAATCAAATGAAAAACGGCCTTTCAAGTGTTTTGCACAATGGCACAGTGGTTAGCATTACTGCTTCCCAATAAGGAAGTTCCAGGTTCGAGCCTGGCTGCCCAGGGCCTCTCTGCATGGAGTTAGTATGTTCTCCTGATGTTTGCGTGAGTTTCCTCTGGGCACTTCTGCTTCTCCCACCCAGAAAAACGTGTTATATGAACTCTCTTACCAGTACCCCTGACCAAGGAACTGGCTTTAAAACTGGAGTTGGTCCCCAGATGCTGCTCTGTGGCTGTCCACTGCTCCTCACTATAGTTTGAGACAAATTACCCTATGGGGTTCACAAAGTACATCTTGTCTTAACTGGCCGTGCAAAGCGATTTGGATGCCTGGCAGTTCTTAATCTCGGGTGCCCAATGGAGGTGCTTTTAGAGGTGGACCAGAGTTAGACTTGGCACTTTTAGAGGTGGACCAGAGTGAGACTAATCTGCCAGCTAAAAAGTGTAATATACAGCAAGATTTGATACACAGTGTGTTGTGACACATTCATTATGAAAATATTATTGAAATTCCCAGTGACTTATGCCACAGTCGCTCTTCTGTCAGTTTAGATGAGACAGGATAGCCTTCATAGCCCTCGTGCGTGGATTAGCTTTGGGTGCCCAAAACCCTGTCGCCGGCCTTTGTTTTGTTCCTCCTTCAACAACTGTCAATAGGCACTCACATCTGCTGGCAGGGAGCACCTCAAGTCTTGCCATTTCAGAGGTGCTCTAACCCACTCATCAGGCTATAAAGGTTTAGCCCTCGACAAAGTCATTCACTTCCCATTTCTCCTGCATCCAACACATTGAATGCGAGAATCGCCTGTTCGCTTACCATTTAAGATCTGTCTGCAAACCTTGACATGTGATGCTGTCATGATATATTCAACATTTTTTGCTGCATCTGTGAGGGGTGATGTTTTGACTCATCGGTATATTCACATATGCAGTAGATATTGACTGCTTGGAGCACAAAAGTGTTAAGTATATTTTTTTTATTTTTTGCTGTAACTAGTAAGTTGGATGCAAATCATATTTTTCACATTGTTTCAAAGTTTTACATTGCTTTTTCTCAAAACTTCAAAAAATGCACTGAACCTTTTTGTACTCTCCAAGCAGTCGATATATATATAATATATATATATATATATATATATATATATTTATATATATATCAGTGGCGGTTGGTGAACTGGCAATAGGGGATGCTCAAAACAATGCCTTAAAATTAATGATTGGTCACAACCTGTTTTCAATCATTCATTTAAATAACCATTACAGAAACTCCGATAACTCTCAACATTATCAGATGTGACAAGTTTTCATTTATAATGCATACCAATTACAACTCCGGACTTCTCACGCTTTTCTTTATTCAGGGATTGGAAGCAATGCATGTGTTTTATGATCATTTAAATGAAATAAGATCATTTGAAAGGTCTTTATGCAATTCCATTGCTTCCAACCCCTACAGTGCAAAAGGACTTCAATTCCGTGCGAGAATCTCTTACATACGCGTTGATTGAATAATTGCTGACTACAGCAGAAGAATGTAAATATGGCACTTAAACTCACACCAAATGCGTGAGAGTTGACAGGTATGCATTATAAATTAAAACTGGCCACACCTGATAATGTTGAGAGTTTTCGGAGTTTCTATAATGGTAATTTAAATGAATGATTGAAAACAGGTCATGACCAATCATTCATTTTAAGGGATTGTTTTGAGCCACCCCTATCGCCAGTTCACCAGCCGCCACTGATATATATATATATATATATATATATATACACAGTTCTTATCAAAATTATTCATTTCCTTCATTGCTCAGTATATACTGTTGCAATAAAAATTATTCAACCCCGCTGCAAATTAGGTTTACTGGCAAAATTTACAAACTTTCAGCTGTTTGCAATGAACAAATCAAACAAGAACAATTTAAATGGCTCAACACAACAAATATTACAAGTGGCTTCTCCAAATTCAACACAAAATGCCACTTTTAATGACTACTGCAGGCTCAAAATTATTCAACCCCTTCATGACAAGTATCTTTAATATTTAGTTAAAAACCCTTTTGCCGCTATGACCTGCTGGAAATGTGATGCATAGGCAGATGTCAGCTTTTGGCAGCATTCCCAAGGAATCTTAGCCCAGTCCTCGTGGACAATGGCCTCCAGTTCACTAATATTCTAGGGTTTGCATGCTGCAACTGTCTTCTTCAAATCCTACCAGAGATTTTTTTATGGGGTTCCAGTGAGGCAAAAGTGATTTGCAAAATCTTCCCAGACTTCTTCTGAAACCAAGCCTTGGTGGATGTTGAGGTATGCTTAGGATCATTGTCCTTTTGGAAGGTCCAAAGATGCCCAAGTGTCAGCTTCCCTACAGATGGCATGACATTTTCTCCTTGAATATCCTGGTACTTGACTGAATCCATCTTGCCCTCCACACTTTGCAGATTTCCAATGCCAGAGGAAGCAATGCAGATGCAGAGCATCAAAAAGCCCCCACAATTCTTCATTGTAGGCAGGGTGTACTTTTCAGCATATGCTTCTTTATTCCTCCTGCAGACATACAACTGATTCATAAGCCCGAAATACTCCAGTTTTGTTTCATCACTCCGCAGAATGATATCTCCAAACCTCTGTGGCTTATTTATATGGTTTTGAGCATATTGGAGCTTGTTTAGAGTGCGCTTTCCTCCTGGTCCCACAGTTGGAGCCTGGAGTATGTCTTGGAGACCTTTGGCAACGCTTTTAGTATCTCCTGTCTTTGTGTAAACTGAAACCTCAGTGCCTCCTGCCTCCCAGTCTTGTTGACATTCTCCTGCAGTCAAATGCCACTTCAAGGGTTTTTGACCACTTGTCTCCTCAGAAATCTGGTGACAGCCATTGAAATATCCACTTCCTCTTTTGGCCACATCCTGGTACTGTAGCCATTCTTCCTTTAACTCTGAACTTTCTTAAATCCATGCTTCCAACTGTATCTGTTTTAAAATTCATTGCCTGTGCTAGGATCTTTTTTGTATCCTTTTCCTTATTTATGCCAGGACCTGGCCTTCTCTATTAGCTTTTGGACAATTTTTGACATGCCATATTTCTAATATGCAATCAAATGCCACTTCCAACAAACCCCTAACCCCAAGTATTTGATGTGTTCTATCTCAAGCAAAAATGATGCAACCCATTAACACTTGATTTGCTGCATTAGGTGGGCTTGAGGCAATACCACACTTGCAAATAAGCTCTTGATTAAAAATGAGGGGACGGATTCTATTCCAAAGTTTGAATAACTTTGAGACAGCAGTAGTCATTAAAGTGGCATTTTTGTTAAAAACTTGAAGACACCACTTCAATATTAGTTGGGTTGAGCTATTTAAAATGTTCTTGTTTTATGATCTGTTTATCAAAACAAATAAATTTGTCGTTTTTGCTATTAAACCCAATTTGCAATGGTTGAATAAACAACTTTTGATCCATGATAACTCTATATATACATATATATATATATATGTACATATGAGTCAATCCAAGAAATGATGTTTGGGCCTATTTTAGGGTCATTTTGACTTCAGAGAGCTATAGGAAAAAAAAAAATAATGCACCATTCTTCCTGTTTCTAGTCTCATTTGAAAGAAAACATCCAGGGCTTCAAAAGAAGGGCAAATTTGCATATGTCGGCCCATAATTTTGCGAGTTACTGAACCCCAATATCAAAAATTTGCCCAAAATTGGCATTTTTGGGCCATTTTCACCTCATTCCAAGTCATGTATTGTCAAGCCAAATAGTGCTGGACCACCAAAAACTTTTTTTTCCTTATTGGGGGGTCATATCTAACATTTCCATGTGGTTTAGCCATGTCATGACCCACATTTTTTTTTTCCCTATATCTTTCAATGGGAATTTCGACTCGTTGAAACGCGAGTTACGAAACTTTTAGACCATCAACTAGCAAACTAAGAAGGTAGTCCCACTGATCATATTACATCCAGCCAAGAGGGTCCCTATAAGGGTTATGTTCATAGAAATATTTTTTACATACTTTGACCTGAGCCTGTGCCAGCTTAAAAAAACTATTTTTCAACACCGGCCTCGTCACTCACGTTTCACTGACATTTACCCATATATAGAGCAAACTACTGCTAATTTCTTTACTTCCTACCATCCAAACAAAGTTATAGGGTATATGTAGCAACCCTAAACGTAAAATAATAAAGAAAATTCATTCAGGTTGGCTCTATGGGGTGTTGCTCGGTGAGTGAAACGTGAGTGATCATCCGGCGCCAAAAATGTCGCGAGAAGAGGAAAGCGACTTCCTGTTAACCGGCGAAAGTAAACCACATCTGGGGTCCTTCGTAAACAACTCAGAGGATCTCAAGCTTCGATTACGGCAAGTTTACGGCAGATTTTACTGCAAAATACAAGAGAAATTCTTCAGAAAGGTAAAGAATTTGGATGAAATTCTTACAAAATATTGTTGAGGGGGTGTCTGGGTGTATGCAGATGTCTCAGTTTGTACCGAAACAATGTATTTTGGGTTCTATGGGTTAAAACTGATCGGCAAGTGAAATTTCCAAGCTGGTTCGGCCATTGGTTTGCGTGTACGGACCCATTTGCCGTGCCTGGCGTGGGTTTGGGGAAAAGTGATACGTGAGTGACCGGCCAGCCACCTTGCCGAAAATGGCCTCTGTGGCTTGAATTCCTGTATCCTTGGCTGTAAATTGATGTTAATTCTGTAGAATGAGGTGCCCCACGTGTGTTACTACCTTTTTAGGCCAGGTTTGGGCATTCTGAATCGACCCCCCACCCCAAAGAAGGGCGGAATGGCGAAATTTTGTCAGAATTTTCACTTTTTGGCCCCCAAAACGGCCTAATTTGTTAGATTATTTGTTTTTTCCATGTTATATTCCTTACCACACCTAGCCTTAATCGTTTTAGTGTGTTAAACCTATCCTGGGTCGTATAATATTGCCACAGTGCAGGCCTAAAGGTATTTGGCTACGCCACTTCACTCACGTTTCACATACTACGATTATGGCTGCCACACACCTCTATATGCACAGCCCGGGAATTTTCACTTG